ATGTGTGTGTGTATGTGTGTATGTGTGTGTGTGTATGTTTTTTAATTTTGATAATCATTTTTTCCCACCTCATATTACTGATATTTCTTTCAGTTCTTATTCGTAAGAGTTTTTTGAAGAAAACTAAAGAGAGTAGCCAATGATCACATATATTCTATCGATTACAAAAGATAATAGCTGTGCAAAATTACTCCAAAATTGAATTTAAATTAACAGTACAAGTGATAGTATATGTAATATTTTGTGACAATAACATCTTTCTTTTATTTTACCGCATTTTGTTTTTTCTTTTTTCCATAATTTCTCGAATTTTTTTTTTTACTTTTTATTTATTTGTTTTTGGAAAATATGCCATCCAATATTTGGTTAAGTTTACATTCGTTTTTTTTTTGCACTAAAAATGTTGCAATTTTAGTCATCGAATGTTGCTGCTGGTGGCAATGCCAAAGGTATATCATAAATTGATTAGAAGGAATTAAATTCATTCCTCTGTCAATTTTCATCACAATCCTCGTCTTTTTTCTTTCTTTGTTAAAAAATTCATTTTGTTAAGTTGTCGTGATGCTATCATCATGTATTAATGAAATTACTAAAAATCAAAAAAAAAAATGAAGTTTTCATATTCAAAGATAGTAATCGAAATGTTAAAAGTGATTGAAGTAATAATTTAAATGTTTTGGGCTTTATTTGTTAGCTTATTTATATCGTTTAATTTAATTAATTTGATTATTTTATTGTTTAATTACAGAACTAAGAATTAACCATCGCATCGTTACACTATTTTACTCCTTCATCAAATGTACACTCAATTTCTCCTTGTACTGTCAATATTTGATTTAATTAGTGAAACAAATGGTAAGAAAGAAAATGTCGAAGAAGCGAGAATGCAAATAGAAAGTTAATAATTATTTCTTTCTTTTAAATATGAAGAAAAATAATTGAAATGCACAAAAAGATTTTGGAAATAATTGAAATGAAAAAAAAAAGAAAAGAGGAAAAGTTTGAATAAATTAGTAATTTGAATCGATTACTGCTTAGTATGATATATTTCTGCAGAATTATCACACTTCAATTTCTCGCTAATATTGATTTTCTGGAGAATTATCAGATTTCAATTTGTTGCTAACATTGATTGGATTGTCATTATTTGGAATATGATGGTCATTTTGTTTTCCTTTCCTTTTTTTTTTTTATTTCCACCAATATTACAGGAGGTAAATTATCCTGCCATAATGGTTGGTTACCGTATGCATCAACCGGATCAGTTAAGTACACTCATTGTTTGAAGATTTTAACGGTATTTCGAATGACTTGGCAGCAAGCTGAAGAAAGCTGTCGACAAATTGGAAAAGATGCTCATTTGGTATCGATACAAACAATGGAACAAATTGGTTGGCTTACAGAAGCGGTTTAGTTTTTCAATATAATAACATTATTAGTATGGTAGTTGAAATTAAAAATATTTTTTTAATTATAATTTTATCAATCTGTTATAAAATTTTAAAAAAGAACATTTCGATTTATTGTATTAATTAATTGATTTATTATTATTCGGTTTTTTTTTTTTGCTAATTTTTATTCAAATAATTTACCAGCCATTAATTATTTGAAGATTGATACCGAAATACGAGTGAAAGGTAAATCATTGTATACGTTATTTCCAAAAAATTCTCCTTGGTTTGATTCGGGCTGGTGGATTGGACTTGGCCAATTATGTCCTAACAGTCAAATCGATCACATACCTTTCTTCAGGTTTCATTCTCGAAGCATCTTGCAAATATGTCTCATTTTATTCAGCTTTCTGCTTAATATAAATGGCAAAAAATGAAATAAATCAAAAGTTTTGCTAGCGATTAATGCATTTTTTTCTCCGAAATAAATAAATATTAAAATTCTAGAAAGAAGAATTGATTTAAAAATAGAGATTATAGTATCATTAAGACGTACTGAATTTACGCATTGTACACGTACTCTCTTGTAAGAGAATACGTGTAGCGTCGATTGCAATGAAACACGCGAATTCTCGCAATAATAACTACGAATGAAATTATTTTATTAAATGTAATCGTTTATTACCACTGATAATGACATTTATATCACAAATGGAATTTTCCTTCATCATTTGCTTCTTTTCAATCTTTTCTTCTTCTTCTTGGCAAACTTTTTTGAATGAATATTTAATTTCAAAATTTATTCAATGATAAGTGATATTTGATTATAGATGGACCGATGGAAATTTGTTTGCCAATGATAAATTAACAATCGGTGACGTCAAGCTTACCGTGCCAAAATCAAAAAAATGGGATAATCACTATTGTGTTTTTTATGATTGTGTGTTTTCAAGAAGTTTAAAATTCATTTTCAGCAACATTAGCTTATTTTGCTAAAAATTTTTCCTTTTTAATCAATTAACTTATTATAAATGAAATAATGATTTGTATAAAATAGATTTTTGAATGGTCAGCAGAAAAGGAATCTTGTAAAGCATACAAATTTCGTATTCTTCAATAAGCAATGTAAGCAATATTAATATCAATAAGCAATAAGCACATATGAAATACATTATCAATAAGCAATATTATAGATCAGAAATCGTCTACCGGAATTGCATTCAATCGAATGTTTAACGTGACGAAATGTTCAGATCGTCGAAGGTTCATTTGTCAAATGCCTGCTTTTTCACAGGTAATTTAAATAGAACATTTTCAATTTTATCAAATATGGCAATAACAGTAATTTCAGTATTTAAATTTGTATTAATATTTTAGGATCAGCTTCCCAATAGTGATGTTGTGGTGATGGAAGAAGAAGTAAAAGTTGCGGAAAGTGAAAGTAATGAACTCACCGCCGAATGTTAATCATTTTTTTATTTATTTACAATACAAATTTTCCATTTAAGAAATTCAATTTCAACTTTTCCATTTCCAATATTGTTAATATTTTTCGATGCAATCCAAAAAAAAAAGGATACAAAAAATAAATAATGATATTGTTTTCTTATTAGCACTTCCAAATTATCATCAATATTTAAATCGAAATAACCGAATTACAGTTCCCTGTGGTAAGGATCCGTTATTTTGTCCACTAAAAACTAGCCAAGGTACTGTATGCTATCGTTTACAAGCCGAACCATTTTACTGGGAACAAGCAGTGGAAGAATGTGATGCAAAATATCAATCCGACCTTACTTCTATTCACTCAAAAGAAGAAGCAAATTTCATTTACGAAATGGTAAATTTTTTTTTTGAAATTTTAACAATTTTAAAAGATATATAACCACATATTTATGTACATTAAGTGACAGTTTAAATGAATGCAAATTAAATTATTATTTTTTACAACCCTCAAAGATCACACTTCTTTACAGTAGTGATTGAGATGTAGTTGACAATTTGCATATATTAAATATGACATATATTTGAGAAGTTTGAAGAGAGTGAATGATGATGATAACTAGGCTTTGAATTGATCAGTGACCTTTCAAGAGGTGTACTCTTACCTTATGATTCATTCTTCATAAGTGTTGGCGTTCATTTCAGCCAGTACTACAATAATCGCAATATGCCTATTGATAATAAATTCAGTAAGGATGATTTTGATATGCTTGTTGATAAAAATTCAATCAAAAGACAATCTTGACATTGAAAATTTGTTCAAAAATCTATTTATTTGTTTAAAATTTCAAAAATTCAAACAAAAAATGATCAAAATTTAATCAGGATAATTTTGATATGCTCAATGGTTATTAAACTTGATTTGAGAAAGAAAATGAAAAAAAAAAATGAAATTGTTAGGTGCAAATGCAACCATCCGTAAATGGTGAAACAAAATATTGGATTGGATTGCATCGGAGGAATGCACAAAGGTATCCCTTCTTTCCTGATTTATCTTTTACCGGTAATCCGGAAATTTCAATTTTCGGATATTTTCAATTTAAAGATCGCACTTGCACTTTTTCATCTTTTTCTCTCTTTTTTTTTTTGGTTTGCCTTGCAATTTGAAATTATTTTTTTTTATTTTTGCCCTGTAAAATTTGATTAAAAAATTATTAAATCGGTCTAAGAAATGAAATCTCAACTTTGAATGAAAAGAATTAATTTATAAATAGTTCAAAAAATGGAAAGAATAAATTATAGTCAATATGAATGGTCGGATGGTTCAGCGTTTGATTATTTGCTGGAACGATTATCAAATGAGGATCCGGAAGAGGAAAAAGGAGTTTGTGTTGCAATGCAGTTTAATATTAGGTTAGTTTTCTTATTCCGTACCAACTATTTATATGCATATTCAATTGTATTTATATACATTGACAACATTTTTTTTTATTTTTAACCTCTGTTTTAAAAATTAGAATTAAAGAAATAAGTATTTGAAAAAATCCCACTTTTTAAAAATTTTAAATTTGGAAAAAATTCAATCAAATTTTTTATAAATATTGGAAATTTACATCGTAATTTGAATATTTTATTTTTAATTTTTTGTTTTGAAATATTTCAGCACCAGATTACTACAGAAACAACCGCTCTATAATCTTTTTGGTATTCCAATTCAAGTGACAAAAAATATTCCAGGTAGTTTTTTATAGTGCTCAAAAAAAGTTTTTTTTTTGTCGATTTTTTTCATGTTACATTTTTAAATTAAACCTTAAAAATGTTTTAAAGAATAAAATTTTTGATAATCATCACATTATTTCAAATATATTTTTTGATTTTTTATAATGTTGAAATTTTGATTTCAATTTAATATATTTTAAAATGAGGAATTAAATTTTCAACAAGCAATTGTAGCATATTTTTGGACTTATCAACGATGTGATAATCGCCATTTGGCAATATGTCGTAAACCAGGCTTTGATTATCATTCTCGTTTTGAATCGTCTGCAAAAGAAGAGAGACGACTGAAAAAGCAGAACAACTGGCAATGTTCAAATGGATACAAATTATTCAGTTCGTTTTCTCTCTCATCTCTCTCTCATCTCTCTCTCATCTCTCTCTCATCTCCCTCTCATCTCTCTCATCTCTCTCATCTCTCCCTCATCTCTCTCTCATCTCTCCCTCATCTCTCTCATCTCCCTCTCATCTCTCTCATCTCTCTCTCATCTCTCTCTCATCTCTCTC